AAGAAATCACTGATTTTTGTTAACTTTATCAGGGCGATTCCTTATATTCGCATCCTTATCGTTCTATCACACAGTGGCAGTAAAGCCCTCCCATATAGCAAACGATAAAATTATTCTCATGACAGGGTGAAACATTGGGTGATGGCACGAAGGTTTATGTCATGAAAATTTTGGTCCACTCAGTCTGCAAAGCTAAGGGTAAATTAGAAGTGAGTGAAGTTCAGCTGAATGAGTGAATACTTTCTCTCTTAAAGGCACCGTTAGCAATAAATTTAGGGTACCCTTTTTTGACGGGAATTATAGAACTACTCTAGAATAAAGCGATAACGAAAAAAGCGCAAAAAACGACGAACAAAAAGCATTACATAGGGTCAAAAAAAGAGCTGGAAAGGGGCGTTGGACGAGTTTCACATTGAAATAACGGCGTTTAGGGAGTGTTCGGGCGAGTGCACGAAGGTGACGCAATGTGTTGTCTGCAATAGCAGACAACACATTGCGTCTCTGGCAATTTGCCAAACAGCTTATCGACTTTTCACCAACTTCGCTCCAATGCGAATGTGGTGAAGGACAACTTGAACTCGTAGTCAGCCTAGCGAGGGGCGGAGGGCGACCGTGGATAACTCTCCGGCCCCTTATTGTGCCCTATCCAGTCGTTTTCCGACCTCATTCATGCACAAATGGTTTCAGAGGGGGCGTCGAATTCAAACCATGTGCCAATCTCCGGAACCATTTTTTCGTGAACAGTGCCTTTAATATCACGGTCTCCTTTCAATCATCTAAAACTCTGAAGAAAGCGACTAGCTGAAATGTTAGCCTAATAAAAATTATACATCTTGGCCGGTATGAGGCAGATTCAATACTTCAGCACGAGAAACTATCAGAACTCCTTGTCAATCCATTTACACCTGCCACCTTCATCCAAAGGCTTAGTAGCGCTGGTCGAGTAGATCAAGTTTGCTAACGTATCGTCAACGTGAACTGTGGCTCATTAACTTCAGCTCTGACGACAAGTCAAATGAAGGCTGTTGTGTTCAACGCAAGAGTAGAGAGTATTACGGTGGTCTTGTCGCCAAGAGTGATCTCTCGAGGATTTATCGAACTGGGAAGTAAGTTGATGTTTCTTTTTGTTTCAATTGCCTATAATTCCTGATTAAATATAGTTGCTCACTCTGTGACAGCCTCGCTAGGTACTCATAGTCTACCCAACTATTATATAACATCGAAACTTGGTAAGCTACTCGCGTGTACCATATGCAAAACCGTAATATAGATGGGTCTGATTCTTCTGCTCCTAAGGGAGCGCATAATGCAGCGCTGGGACTGCCTGGGAAAGCTTGCCATTTTCTCAGGTCCAAAACGGGTTCCCAAGAAGATACCAAAATCGTGATCTATACTTTCATTGCACAAAGGCTTGCATCATAATCCTTCGTGCATTGAAAGTAGCTCTGGTGAAACAAGCTAGTAAGGGCAAATTTGATTTCATCGGCCTGACCGAGACGAGGACGCATCTCATGCTTCATGGAGTTTTCGAGCACCTAAGTATTCTTTCTTGAACTTTGTGACAGTAGGGTCGTGTAGATTTCAATGTCAAGACGTCGGAGGTGTAGAATTCAATGTCAAGACGTCCTCTTGGCAATCAAAATCGAGTCGTACGAAAGTCGACAATTTTGATTGAACGTTTGTGATCGAGAAAATGTGGCTCAGCTCTGACAGTTTTCGTTGTCTACGCACTAACGACACTTTTCTCAGGTTGGGATTTCCGACTCAAAATTGGCCGTGGAAAAATGGCTGAGGCTTCATATCAGCACTCACGAAACGGAACGGCTGCTTCGGGTTTACCATGTCGGTAAGTCAAATATCTACAGTAACTCGCAAGTCCTGAAGCCCTACCGTTCGCGATGGACTTGAGAGTAACCTGGTAGGCAGTTCTGTAATAAAGCCGATCACAGCAGCTTCAATCAAAAATTTTGCCCGACTCAGGTCGCTGATGTTACGAAGTTCTACACGGAATCGGATCGTCGTATCCTTCGCGCTGGATTCTGTTATCCAGCGCGTGGAGGGAGAGGTGTGAGGTTTAGGAAACGGAGCTACGAAACCTTTATTCACTGGGATCACTTCGCTCTCCTTGCGAGTGATTGGGAAGATTCCTATTCCGTCATCAACAATATTGATGAGGATTACAACGGATCTGTCGAACACCTTGAAGACGGTGCTAGTGGAGCGGAGCGTCTACGAGTATTCAAGAATAGTCTAGTCTTTGAGCTGATACGCCAACATGGAATGAGAGCTGCAGGCAATCATCAAAAAACGTTCGAATTTTCGAAGCCATGCATAGAAGTGGTAAAGGAAAATCTGAAAGAGGGAAAGGTCTTCTACGACTTCCTCTCGGATATCCGGCAGCCGCCTCTACCTGCCATCACCTATCTTAGATATAACGCTGTATCGGAATAGACATAACGCTCCTTCAATTATCCCTCCCGAAATTTGTCATGCTATCGCATCGAATGATGTCGGGCACCAAACCAGAACTTCTGGCATAGTTCACGTTAAAAGTTGGTTTCTGAGATTTCTCCTCTGGATGAACCTGTGACTTCCAAGGGTGCTGAGGGACGCTGTCGGGTCGAAAAGCAGTAAAGATAGAGCGTAATGAGGGCCTAAAAACCAGCGTGGTCGACATATACACCCAAGACGGACGAGTTCTCAGGTATTGTGAAGGCCGTAGAGGCTGTTCGCGCCAGGACACTTGAGCAGGTCGTCCAAAGCCCTTCCATGAAACTTCTGCCGCCACATTCTGGTCTAACCCCTAATTTTACTTCTTTTGCGAAGCCTATATTTTTCTGAGTATTCCGATTCCTGCGTTTTTTCCTCACATTTACACTTCTCTGGAGTATCACTTTCAATACTCGTCTAAAACTAGGTACCCCAAAATTACCGTTAACTGTGCCTTCAGTGCCCGGAAACTATGGAGACTGTGTTGCTATTCAAGAAGGGGAATGCAAACAATTCTAGCACCTGGTGCACAGTCTGCCTACTCTCTGTAACCTATCTAAGGATGATGCCGAAAAATTCACTGCACTTCGAATGGCAGGCGAAATTCTGGCCGTAGCTATGAGTGGTACCGTGTTCGCGTCGCTCGGTTCAGAGCAACCATTTCTCGCATTGCGATCGCATACAATTGATGATGGCAGTGTGTGAGCACCCAGACCCCTGTGCAAGTTT